ATAAAGATTTAGTCGAACTTACCGGAAAGTGTATGATTGAAACGTTTTAGTAATTGATCCGGATCACATGCAAATCCTGGAGAGCTAAGATTACAAAGATCCGGTCTAACTAATGAATCCGGAAATGTTTCAACAGTATAATTCGATGAACAATAAATGAATGGAAATATCAATGATAACAATGGTATAATCATAATAATATGAATAGACATACTCTCCTCGAATATAATTAATGCATTACTGTAAATCCAACATTTACATTTTAGCATAACGAAATTTTAATAGAATTTTTTTTTTTTTTTTTGGAGACATTTAATATCAAAAATTAATAATGCAAATAATAAATTCCTTTATAGAATGTTGAAGTGAATTTCACAGTTACTCTTAGCAAATATAAAAATTTGCAAATCTTTAAAGATTGAAAATGAGAGGTGCAGAAATCCATCAATGTTGACAGATGCGACAAAGATATGTGCAATGAAATGCAAATATTATAGAAGTAAACAGAGGAAGGTAAAGTCATTACTTCTTAAATTTTACTAATTCTCTTTACAATCATTTCTATCGATCGATATAGAAGCATTTTTTATTTCATTACTTTACCTATATTTGCTAAAGTTCATCTAATTTTGAAGTATGTCTGTACATAAACTAAAGTTATTTATTAGCAGGATATAAACATTTTGTTCCGGTAAGAAAATGATTCACCCAAAAAGCATACGAAAGCATATCTTTCACTTTACTCATTTACCTTTTTCCCCTTTCTCACCTTTTTATCATTATTTATTTTTGACGGGAAAAGATTATATCTTAACTATATGCTAATTACCCGTAAATCTCTCTAATAATCATAACAGTAAAAATTTAATTATAATTTAATGTATTACTAATGTACATAAAAAATTATATCAAATATTCATTTTAAATAAAAGTTGCACATTTGCTATTATGGAAGAATGAATGGAATCAATTCAATAGAATTGATTAAAATAAATGAAATTCACATGCTATTATCATGGAAGAATGAATGAATTCGATTCAATAGAATTGATTAAAATCAATCGATGAAATTAAATTCATAAAAAATAAAAAGAGAAAAAAAAGATTTCAAAAAAAAAAAATAAATAAATAAATAAAAATAAATAAATAGCATTTAAAGAATAAAAAAAAAAAAAAGATTCAAAAATAACAAAGAAAAAAAAAATTCTATCGATAAGAAAAAAGCTTTCCCTACAAAGCAAATTATTTAGCAATGAGCAATTAATAACATTCATCGATTTTAGCCATTTTGTGGATTTATTTATTTACGCTTTCTACTCTTCTACACAACTTTCTATGCCGAACAATGGAAGTTGAATATAGAATTTTTCGTTAAGTAAATTAATCATTTTGAAATGCTCACAAAAATTTTTAAAATTTTAGTTAATTTAAAATGTCAAGCAGCATCGCTCCAACTTGATCAGTTTCAGTTCTTTCTTTTGTGTTTAGTATATTTACTCGATACTTTATCGTTGAAATTTCAAATGCTAGAAGAATTCGAGAAATACCAATTGCAGAATTAATAATTATGAAACTTTCGCTTTTTTTTTTTGAATAATAGAATTCACTCTAAAGAATACAGGAAAATATTCCGTAAGCAGAATGATACGGAAGAAAATGATGAGAATTATTAAATGATGTAATTTTAATATTCTAATACAGTCGAATTATGGCGGTAATTTATTCGTTTTATTTTGAACTTCCGGTCATAATCAGATTACAATCTGAAGAATTTTCAAAGTAACCTTTTCGGTTGCTAGTTACATATGTATCATTCAATCTAAGTTAATGTTTAGACTAAAATGTCTCAGTTTAGACTAAAATGTAAAATGTTTCAAAAAGTTGCACCGTTTACTAATGAATAATCACTATGTACAATCAGACATTATATAAAGAAAAGCAAAAAAAAGAAATCATCGGAAAACAAAAAAAGAAAGAAATGAAAGCCATTATTATAAGAATCATGGAAGATGATGATGCAGTGATGCAATAATAATATTCCTTCTCATTCATATTACATAAATAAGTTTCTTATTTATAATCAGATATGACCCTAACCGGAATCTTTCAATCATGCACAACTTACTCCGACACCGCTTTAAATTTCAAAACATATTTCTGAGAAATGAAATCTTTTCAAACTATCATAATCATTCCGTAGGATCAAATTAAGAATCAGTATTGTAATATATTCCAACATTTTCTCGCTTTTCCCAAAATCTGAATCGATATTTTCCTTCTTGCAAAAAATTTTTTTCGTCTTCATTTTAAATAGCGACATATGATCTATTTTATTTAATTCAAAAAAAAAAAAATGGATGGATGGATCAGAATTTACGGTTTTTTTTTCTTATCTCCTATCTAAACTTATAATAAGATCTCAGGAATATACGAGAAAAGTTGCGAAAAAGTACAACGGTAAGCGACAAACAATGTACAATTAAAATATATAACTGATAAAAAGTATCAATTGATACAATATTATTGTATCAAATCCAAATTTCATCATGGAAATTTCATATTGAAAATGAAAGAAGAAAAAGCAAATAATTCTAATCCTTTTTCTAAGTTATATGATGGAAATTTTCGTAAACACTAATGTCATTTTGGATTTGCTAGGTCTTACAATTAAAGCACTGAAAATAGCTATCAAAAGATAGCAAAGTTTTAAATAAATTTAAATTTCGATCAATTTCAAACTTAATCCATAAATCAGACATAATAATTTAATGAATAACCGCAAATTTGAAGAACAATAAAATCATTGAGTTGCTCACTGATTATCATGTTAAAACTGCCAATTATCAATGTAACTACCACCTGCAATTTATGAAATAAATCTAAAATTTAACAAATCAAACATGTTATTTAGATAGAGAAAGATTACTAATTAGTTATGATTAGTTTCTACAATTCACATTACTGATCATCATTTGTAAATAAATTTAACAAATCAAACATGTTATATATACATATATAATCAACAGTTATTTACAATTTTCTACTTTTAACACATTTAATAGTATTAAGCGATTGAAGAATTAAATAAAGAATAAATGAAAGTTTTGTTTCAATGAATATAAAAGAACAATCTTCTTTCCAATAAATCGATATTGCACAGTTGTTGATTACGCTCAAAATGAGTTAGATTTCAACACTGAAAGCGTACCTGGATTAAAGAAATATCTTAAAACCTCCTGTAAATTAGACAACTACAAGCAAGCAAAAAAAAGAAAAAGCAAAAAGCAAAATATAACAATTTCCGGTTCAAGCATTTGATGGTTACCTGAATAATATTTGCCAAAATCTAAACAAATGTATTCTCTAGCAAATATTCTTGTATGATTAGCAGCAACCTGGACAAATTCATGAGCAAATTATTCATATCTCAATTCTAATCTAACAATACAACAGCATAATGCTTTCAATTGGGAAAAGATTTGAAGGCATAAGTAAGAATGCATATTAGGCATAATAAACTGAAAAGTGAAAAAAAAAAAAAAAAAAGAAAAGAACCCTGAAACTGTGACGTATATAATTAGTTCAGATAAGTAATGACCACAAAGTAAAGCAGACAAAGAATAAATATAAGCAAAAAAAGGAGACAAGTACTACAAGTACTTCATTGTAATGATTGTAATATACTTTCATGGAAAATATTATACCCGGATGAATATGCAATAAAATAACTTTGCATATAACATTCCTGAAATTTTTAGAAGACTACTTTAACTAACTTTTTCTGCTAGTAATTCTAATCTTCATAAAAGTGAGGAATAAAACCTAACTAATTAAGTATCCAAATGAATAACAACGAAATGATTATTTCATTTGCCTATCATGATAAAGGATAATTTTAGATATCAAACAGTAAAGTGGAGCTAAACAACAATAGATCAAGAGAAATGTTTCCAATTATCATTTTTCCTGTTATTCCATCGTAGGATTCAACTAAAAGCATTCTCCGAAGTTTAACAAAGAATAGGGAATTCAATTGATTGCGATGATTAATGTTTGAATTACGTATGTATAAAATTGTTCCCAGGTAAATGTACAAGTACGATTTATTCCTACCATACAAATGAATTATGAACAAGTGCAATAAAACCAGTATGAGGTGATTCTTCCACATCTGGAAAAGAAAATACAGTGAGAAAAAAATGAAACAATAGCAAATGTAGAAAAACAAAAAAAAAAAAAAAAATACAACGAAAAGAATCACTATCGAATATAGGAAGAGGAAGAAAGTGATGTCCTTAACGTAAATGAGATGAAAAACATTTGACGAGAACACGGGAGGGGCGAAGGGGACAGGTGACAACAAATTCGTGACTAAATATATTGCAAGACTAGAAAAGAAATTGCTCAAAGTATATACTGCTCGTGTGTCTGAATTTCTTTTTAGTTTTTATGCAAAATCATTAATAATGATAAAAGTCTGTACGACATGTCATTGGTTTTTATTTTTACTTATGCAATAGCTTTCATAATGTCTCTTTATTTGAAGTACCGTACCCATAAATGTTAAGGAAATTGAAATTATAAAATTAAACTACATCCCTAAATGAAATGACACCTCAAAATAAATTATTACTTTTTAAAATATTGTTACTAAAATTATTCTAACTACCTTTAAAAGTACTGGGAGAAGAGGATCCAATTTGTTGGTAAAATGTAATTCTGAAAAAAAAAAAATCACTCAGATATGACATATTTTACACAACAGGTATGCCTAAAAGACACATAAAAATAAAATTCTCATTTCTGTGTTGCGATAATTAAATTCAAAATTGAATTTCCAAATCAGGAAACATGCCTAATCAAAATAACATTAAAAGGTCATAGGCCTATAGCATACTAATTTTCATATCCTTATTTGATCACTGTTAGATATAGAATATTTTCCATTATTTACAAGACTTACATAAGGGATCTCTTTATTTTGCTAAGCAGACAGATAATCAGCTACTCGATCTATGATCCATTTTAGGCATTGTAACAAGATGTCGCCGTTTCTTCCTTAAACTTCGCCTCAGTAATTCTTTCTCCTGCAACAATATATCTCGCACCAAACCACGTACTACATTACGTATAACATCATCATCCGTTTCTGCATCATGTGATGGATTCAATGTAAAGCTTGATGAACTTCTGAAAATAGAAAATATTATGAAAAAATGCTGAAAAATGGATTTCAAACCGGAAAATACTCTAAACCAATACAGGATGATCTATCTTAATGATGGAGCAACTGATGTTTCAAATAGGTTCACACCAGGAAAAATTAAAAGTAGGTCATCAAAGTTGAATGCAACTGGAAATTAAAAATATGAATTATCTTTATGATTATAATCATCTTTTTAAAGTTATCATCTCCTCCTTTCCTCTTCTAGTTATATCTGAAGTGAGAGAATTATGCGACATGAATGACAGAGTTCATTTATACGTCTAGATGCATTACCTAGAAATAGCTGACGACGAATGAACTGATGGTGAGCTTTCATTGCTGCCGCTTGTAGTACCAAATGAAATCTTTCGGTAGTAAAATGAATCATCGTCACTTATCTAAAAAAATAAATAAATAAAGCAACGTGAAATGAATTTAATGAAAAAAAAAAAAAAAATGAAATGAATTTTGTATAATCATAAAGGAACAAACAAAATGAAATAGTAAGCTATAGAATTGCAATTTCATGACACGCAGGATATGGCATCACTTCAGTCTATGAAATTAATTTCATCAATATTATTGCTATAATAACTATACACTAAAAAATATTTCCAAAGATGGCCAAAATTTTAATTTATCAAATCATTCCGTCCATTCACTTTCTCTATGTTTTTAAGAATTATTAGAATACAAAAAAAGAAATAATGCTTCTTACGCAAGTTTTTAAGAAAAAAAAAAAAACACAGTTTACCTCATAAACAACGTAATTAATTACATCTCGAACTACTTCCTTTATTACACTCGTATCTGTAGAATCATCCTCTATTACAGAACAACTGGACAGAGATGTTTCAGATTGCACTGTTATACTTTTTTCATAATTCTTTTCTCTCTGTTGTAACTGTTCTATCGGATGATTTACACTAATAGCTTGTTCACAATTAGAGCATTTCTCAACGTCAAGTTTTAGCGCAATATTATCCGTGAATTTAACCACAAATGTAGCATCATCAAAATAGTCCTGTATTGGTGGCGTATCTGGTCCACGTTGTAAAGTAACGACAGCAGTGAATTGCACAGAATTAGACTGAAGATCTTCGTCAGATTCGTTTTTCTGAACTGTAATTTCTTCATGAGAATTAATCGCATTTCTCGTATCACAGCTTTCATCTTTTTCTTGAACATCTTCAGATAATGTGCATTTTATGCTCTTCTCACCATTTTGAAATTCAAAGCTTCCTGATAATTCATCGATACTAGAAAATCCAGAACTTTCTGACTCTTTTGATTTTTCAGCTATAAAATTTTCGACTTCTAGGGTTGCATCTTCTCTATTCAAAAATTCGGGTCCCCGTCTATCCACCCCAGAACTTTCGCTGAGTGATCGCTGTAGTGAAATACAATCATCTGATTTAGCTTTTGCCGTTTTTTGAATCGAATGACCCACCTGTTCCACCTAAAAATTGCGAAGAATGGACAATTTTTAACAAAAGAAAAATTCCACTAAAATTGTGAAGTTAATTTTTTCATGTACAAGATGAAATCAGACATAGTAATCTAGCCAAATATGGCTTCATCAACAATACTGAATTCATGTAAATGGAAGTACCTTAAATCTTGACTTTATTCGAGCGACATCTCGCGGATTTGTTTCATTCAAACTTGACGTTGAAACTGTAAAGCGCCGTGATATTTTTTTTACCGGTGTATTTACTCCAGCTTCAAGATAGTCACCGGGAGCTATTGTAGGAAGAGATGGACATTTTGACAATTCGCCTGAATTCAGAATTTATTTTTTGCAACAAGAATTTTCTAGTTTTATCTCATTCAAACTTAACATCGGAACTGTAAAACATTGTGATAATTTTTCCTGCTTAATCTTTTGACGGACTTCTACCATTGTATAAATGCATGAGAAGCAAGGACAAGGTACTATGATTAATATTTTAGTAGCATCAAAAAATTGAAGAAAGTTGCTACCTATAGACCGAAATACTGGCAAAGCATCAACAAAGAATTAGTTCTATTGCTTAACGTGATTTTAGATACTGATGTTATTCGACGAATCTACAAATAGCTTTGACAATGTCACAATTCAACAGTTAGGGATAGACTGTATTAAATAAATGGACATTTTTATTAGTTAGATAAAAATGATTTTTCAAAGTATTAAAAACCGATAGAATCATACTTTTCGTAAACAATGCAGGGTGACTTTCATCTGATTGTTTTTTGATAGTAGTGATGCTGTCCGGAATTTTCTCAATGAGTGCTAATGAATGATGAGTCATCTGCGCAACACGTTCCTAAATTGATAAATGAACAATGAATAATGGACGTTTAAAGACATCAATTTATGTCCTTCAACCGTACTACACCTAATTAATGGAATTCAAATAAAGAGTGGAACACGATGTATCGTTGGTGTTTGATGTGAAGCAATTCAAGCATTAACTGTGTAAATATTATATTTGTATGAACATTTATATGCATACAAATACAACATTCATCTTATTTTTGATCATTTTAACTTTTTTGCTGCATAAAAACTATTAAATAGGAGAAAAAAACTTCCAATTGCTTCATATTCTTCATTTTTCTTTATATGAGTTCATTCATTATTTCTCTTATTGATGAATTGCCCCAGTGGCGACAGAATTGTATAATTCTGAGCAAGGCTTTTATAAAACAAATTCCACTAGTGAAGGAAAAAAAGTGGCATAGGAGAAACTGGCACTCACTGAGATATCATGGACAGTCTCGGTGCATGTTAAAGATGAAGATCGACCTAATAACCAAATCGGACTCTTTGATGTTGTGGCTATTTTTCGTTGGGTAACCTCTAAATTATCAATTTGTCCATTTCTTGTCATTTTTGTTTTCTGTTTTTCTTCTTTATCTTCTTTCTCTTCATCCTTCTTCATTTCCGTATTCTCTTCGCTATGTGTTACATCAGTTGCAGCGGTATCGTCTTCGACTGTTGTAAGGACCGAAAGCTTTTTAAGTGCAATTTCTTTATTTCGTTCGCAAAACATTTTAATTTCATCATAATAAACTTCAAACTGCTCCTGATATTCTTTAACCTGAAAGACAGGTGTTTTTGTATTCTAATAGAAAAGAAAACAAGTAATTTATCAGTAATACTTGCTCTCCAAGCATCACAAGAGATATTGTACTTATATAATTCTAGCAAAAATCAATCTCAAACTTCATAATATATTGATGTACACGACGTATTAAAGAAAATAAACTAGAAAAAGTCATACTAACCGAGTGTAATGAAAAGTGCAAACATTGCATAGCAAAACTGGCTGCATATTAAGCAAATTTAAGAGGTTAGTTCACAACTTGACTATGCTATTAAGCAAAATGCACTATTAGATAACTGGCCAAGTGTGTTAATCATATAATCATATAGGAACTATCCTATTCATCTCAATGTACCATATATTACATAATAATAAAGAAATCCATTAAAGTTTAAGCCATTTATTCCACTAATACTAACTGAATTAACATCTAACTTCGGAATTTTCTAAATAAATTTGATTTGCATAAAATAAACATTTCCAATAATGCTAAAAACATGCTATTTAAATAAAAAAACGCAAAACCTTTAAGCTACTGGATTGGGCAACCGATATATCCAAATTCAGAACTGTTAGTGAAGTATTCATTTTCATTGCGAGATGAAGTGCCAATAAGCCAGCCGATCCAATATGGGGATTATCTCGTAAATCTAGCCGTATCATTACTTTATTATCGGCTAAACATTCTGCCAACACAATTGCACCTAAAAACAGTTCCATAACCGCTTTAAATTTGACTGGACCAGAAAATAAAAACAGATCAATGCATTAACCCAATACAATTATACATGAAATATCTATTACATTTACTTTCCACTCCGACATTTAATCTTAAGGAAACCTAACTGATGCTAAAAAATTCTTAAATAATTGGCGAAACAATATGGAAGTATGCAAAATAAATAGCAGTAATTTCAAGTAATTTACTCAATTTTTTTTTCAGTAATTTAATAAAAGATACTCAGCATTTCAAAGATATTCAGGTTAAAATATTTTGAAAAACCGTATGATAGATGACATGGCGAATTAAGGTAGCTATTATATAATCAGCAATTCGCATAATCACAATATTAAATAAGTGATAAAAGTAAACATCAAGAGAATTCCGGATTTACTAAAAAGATCTCATAAAGTTTAAACAGATGAAAGAGTGAACATACTTTGACAGTCAAGATTTGTCGCCTGCAAGCCAAGCCTCTGCAAACTACAATTCTTTTGTAATGCTGGCTTCAACTTAACAATACCTTCCAATAACAGACTGTTATTACCAATATTCAGAGTTTCCAATTTACTATTCTCTATCTGAAGTGTAAAAATTGACATATTAACCTGTTTCCCAAAAGATTTTTGCTCTAAGAACTATGTTTGATGTATTTGGAACACTGGCAAGTTTTAATTCAATAATGTTAGCTATCATTTATTAAACATTACTGCTTTCTGCTTTCTACAGTCAAAAATTCATACAAAATAGTTCGATAAATATATCAAATTATCCCAAACAAAAAGATAACAAAAAATCCATCAGTAAAGACTAATAAAAAAAGAGTAACCGAGAACCAACCAATGCTTGCGCCAATGCTTCCATTCCACTACTTGTTAATCTATTATTCCACAGTACCAGTGCTGATAACGAACTACTTTTCGTTGTTTCACGGTGCCTCAGTGCGTCACAAATATGACGTAAACCACCATCCTAAATTCATAATAGAATATTTGACGATTTGGCTATATTAAAACTGATTATTACCAAAGCACAATGATTAATAATAACAGCAAAACATTAAGTCATATTAAAGGTAACACAATACGAATTACAGAACTTTTTTACTGGCTCCATTATTATTACTCAATATTTTAAGATTTTCTATGGGACATTGAGTAACATATTCTTCATCTATCAACCAATAAAAGAAGATTCCATTTTATTCGCTTAAAATTTTCAAATAAATACACACAAACCTGCAACTGATTGTTCCGTAGGTCAAGCAGTTGAATTGATACACTGGTGATGATAATTTGATAAATATGAGCACCATCTGCAGGCTGTAAATTATTCTCACCCAAATAAAGCTCTCGCAGCATCGTATTTCCCTTTAGTGCACATCCTGTAATAAGATCAGGTACGTGTTGAAAATTACATATTGTATTTTATGCAAGTTCAGGAAAAGAATGTTTCATTTAAACAATTTAGTATTAACACTGAACTTTCCACGACAAGGAGAGAAAGTGCTTACATTATTCACTCGGAGATACACTAAAGAGTACCAGTAGTTCTAATATTAATCAATAGTACTAATAGTGATTTAACTTATCTCCTTGTTACTTCATTGGACAAAATATTTCACAGATTAAAAAAATCATATTCCCTTATCATTTTATCTAATGAAAACAATCCGGATTTTTCCGCATTCAAGAAACTTTATCCCGTTTTTTTCATAATTATAATCCTTGAAACACTATTACATTTTCGAATTCCATAGACACTTCCGTCATCTGATATTAATGAAAAATATATCGCACGAACCGACTAAAATCAAGTTTCGCCCAGAAAGAGAAACATTTTCCAAATGTAGAATAGTTAACGATGACTGGGAACGTAAAGCTCGAGCCAATACTGGTACGGCACGATCAGATAAGGATGTGTAGCGCAAATTTAAATATTGCATAGAAGGTGCCTAAACAACAAAAAAAAAAGTTCAACGTAAACGAAGATCAAAAATTCAAAACATACGTATCTTTATGAAACTGATAAATTAAACTATAGAGGAAAAAAGCGAATGTATCGAAATAGACAAAGATCTGAAGTAAGCTAAAATGTTTGGGTAAATCCATTTTCAGATGAGAAAGATTTCCTCAAAACTTTAAAAACATTACACCAGATTGCAAAGGCTTGAAAACCTCTATAACATCATTTTAAAATCAAAACTTGTAGTCAAAAATTGAAAATAGTTTTGTGAAAACATATTCTATTTTAGAACATGACGAAAAAACTTACATCCCTTACAGCTTTACATATGGCTTGCCAACCGCGCAAATTGATTTGCTTATTGAACGATAAATTTAATTTCACTGCAGAGTCATAAAATTCAAGCATCTCACCAAGGCAAACAGCACTCTGAAACAAATAATTCCATATTAAGAATCACACACCAAGATAATGAGAAATCATTCCTAGAATTTCATTACTAAAAGCTGCAAAAAGATTCCGTAAGGTTCATGAATTAAAATTTCTAACATTACAGAAGCAGTGAAATTATTATGAATCATATTCGGTCCTGCAGACCGCAGGTTGTTTGGGAAAAAGACTGATAATTCCTTATATTGGAACAAATTCTTTCATTTCCCATTACGGTGCAAGTGCTAGTTGGACTAAGCTTTGACATTTCTGGTAGTATTAAGAAATATCAACAGGATTAACAAATATATAACGAAAAATCTTTACAAAATAATAAATTAACTATGCATAAATGAGTCTGAACAACTTACATCATCATCTAAAAAGGTATATTCGAAATCAAGCATGTCAAACTGGACTTTATTGAAAATTTCTTCCAAACATTCCATATCAGCAGAAGATAAACGATGACCTAAATTTATTTTTCTCAGTGGTAATCATTAATTATGACTTTATAGCAGTTTTGTTTTTGAAAAGAAATTAACTAAATTTTCATTATTGCTTAAACAATGGAAGAAAAAGAAAATTAAATTTACAGCTTCACAGCATTTAAAATCTATGACTATGACAAGGAAAAAAAAATACAAACCCTTTAAAGAGAGACATTCTTGCCGTACACCGACCACTTGATGAAAACACTGAAATGGCTTTTACCAGAAAAAATAAAGGAATCAATAATCAATGAGTTCAAGATTTGATATTTTCTTTATCCTCATAATTCTCGAATAAAGCTGACAAATATCCAAAAATCACAAAATTCTACTCATACAACAAACAACCGAACGCAGGATGGTTTAACGCTGATCTTTCTGAACAAACCTATTATATTAATCCCTACACTATTTTATTAACTTCCCTTACGGCTGGGGCTGAGATGAGAAACAAGGAGACAGCTGATCAACACATATTATTTATTTCGATTTATTTGAAACTTTCGGGTATTTCTACAACTTAATACTTTTTAACGCTAGTATTTCCCAAAAACTAGTTAGGTTCCATTTTTAATGAATTCTGTTATAATATTTTAATCAATGGTTGTCAGTCGAATGTTTCTTCTCGGCTACGAAGACTTTTAATATTCTTATAAGGCATATTACGCATAATGAAGTTGTATAGTGAAGAGATAAGAGGAAATGTGACAAGAACTGTATCTTAGGTGTCATCAACTTTATCGAACGAATTGCAAAAACTGTTTGATGGAGTAAATGAACTTGATAAAAATTGCTACTGCGTCTGAAATCCTAATGTCTCTCCTTCTCAAAGTAAATCAAAAAAAGTTAAAAAAAAAAAAAAAAAAATATACGGCTATTTGTTCTTGCACAGTTTGGATTGGATCGATTCTCAAACGTCTGCAAGCATTTAGGTAGGAAAGACTAATGGCACTGGTGTCATTTGCATCTGCAAATATGATACGGATAACAAACATACATGATGAATTAGTCGTAAATGATTGCTTAATTCACCGACTTCAACAATGACTGCGAAGCCGATAAATTAGAAATAATTGCAAAATTACAAATTTTTGACAAATCTACGATGTGTTTGATAATTTTTGTTACTTTTGAAGTTTATCAAAGAAATCCTTTTCAATGGCAATCAATATAACTACGAATATTCGGTACGACAGAATCGAAAGCAACATGAAATTGACAAAAAGAATAGCAACGAATTTGCTGCAGATCAGTTTAACTCTGCTCGAATTATGATCATTTTTCTTCTTTTATTAATGAACTCCATATTTCCCTGGCAAATTTTTTTGAAGAGAGCTCTGGATTAAATTAATTGGATCAGTAATAAAAAAAAAAAATTACTTGAACAATACATTCAATTCTTATCAACAAGTTAAATTTATCTCACTCTTATTAGTGAAGACATTTGTCGGTGCATCGTAGAAATCCGTTACAATAACATCCGGAAAATGAACATTTCGTCTATGAGAACAATGCTGTATCTTTTCTTCTGCATCTGTGATTTCTGAAAAAGTCACTGTCCAAACTCTTAGCAACAAATTAAACGAAACGGTATGATGACTTCTCTAGCAAAATTTTCTTAGGATGCTTTGCAAAGAACTAATTTTGACTAGCATCATAGCACAACAAAGGAAGGCATTAAAATAGAATGACAAGAAGTTTCTAAAAACTTTCACTGATGATACAAATGGTAAACGCTCTCATAAAGCAAATAAATACTAATTGTAAAAGTACAACTGATAAAAAGTTGAAATAAATATCTCTGATGATTGCTTCTGTTTGGATACCTTAGTAAGTAATCAATTTTCTTCCTACCATATGGAACACTAACCTTTCGAATCGTCCAGTGTTATTTTTTGAAGTTGTTGTTCTTTCTGGACGACGGTGCAATTATTACTAATATCAGAAATATATTTCACCGAATTTCTTTCGCTTTCAATGGAGTTCAAATTAGCTGACAATACTGAAGGTGATGATAATAATGAAGAAGTTGTTGCTGCTCCTACTACTACTGCTGGTGGTGTTGTTGCTGTTGTTGAAGCAGATGATACTAGCTGTTGTTCCTGCTGTTGCTGCTGTTCATTGTTTGATGATGACGTATCATGCAAACCCAAGAAATCTTGTAAACCCGCGAAAAATTTCATGGACATTCCAGTACTAATACTTCAGTCACCGGATATAAAATATCAAAAAATGAAAGAAAAGAGAAAAAACAAGTAAAGGATAAAAGAAGAGAAAAATTTCCTTGTACAGAATTGCTAATCAAAAGCAAAACTTTTGATATTGTTCTTATTAACGTTGTTGTTGATTTCTGAAAGAACAGTGACGTCATGCAACTCAGAATGCAGCAATAAGTAAACAGTAATTATTAGCAATAGTACGTTTTTAGTACAAATATAGCACGTTTTTACTTCTTTTACGTTTAATAATTCAAATAATCAGTCGAACAGTTATCAACTGTTCGGCTGCACCACCAGCAGCAGTAGTACCATTTTTCATTTAGCTGATCCTTATTATTATTCAGATTTGCTAATATTTGTTCATATTTCTGATCACTTTTCATTGAATTCAAATGATTTATTTCAAAAATCTGCAAATTTTTATTCATTTTTCAACTATGTCATTTTTTGAACACGTCATTTCGCCATAGCAACACACAACATATCTAAACTATTCATCAGTAATACGATCATTTGTTTTATTATTGATGTTCTTAGTTCAATGACACATGTCAGTTTAATTATATTCTAGCGATAGATCGTAAATGATAATGTCACAGTTAAATTCTGAGCTACAGTAGAGTGAAAAAAAAAAAAAAGAAAGAAACGTATAGCATAGTGTGTTATATTGTAAAATATGACGTATAATACGAAATATAAAGTATACATACAACGTAAAAATTTTTTTCATGTAAAGAAAATTTTCTAAGAGTAAAAATGAAAGAGAATCCTATACAAATCTATCCATCACTTTCCATCCTCTCACACTTAACACTCTTCCTCCTCTTACATTTCACTCAACCTTTTAACATTTCTACTAAGCACATCTCAATTCTTTTTCGTTTTCTAATTCAATTCGACTATTTGGTTGAAAATAAAAGGTACTTTTACAACACAATTTAATGCAGCCGATGGGAGTAAAAACTTAGTAAACAAACAATAAAATTTCTCAGTGTTCGAGTGCAAAACCAGTTAAGCCAAAATGAATTTCCTTTAGAGTGGAAATATAGTTGTTTATGAAGAGGATGGAGGGATTGATAAGATTACGAGAAGTTGCAAGTGAGGGATTGAGAGCATCGGAATAAATAGTGTAGACGATATGTAGTATAGAAGGTTAGAGTATATCCACAAAAATAAGAAAACAATAAATAATTGACGTAGAAGGAATATGCTTGTCTATTTCAATGATTATAGAATGTGATGAGAATGCGTTGCTGAAGTATTATGTGAAATGAATGAATCAGGGACAATTTAAATGAACAAGTTTATAGCTTGTTTAATAATATTATTGATAATGGTAATAATGATAATTAATAATAATAATAATAGTAGTAATAATAATTAATAATAATATTTAGTAATAATAATAATTAATAATAACAATAATAGTAGTAGTAGTAATAATAATTAATAATAATATTTAGTAATAATAATAATTAATAATAATAATAGTAATAATAATAATAATTAATAACAATAATAGTAGTAATAATAATTAATAATAATATTTAGTAATAATAATAGCAGTAGTAATAATTAATAATAATATTTAGTAATAATAATAGTAGTAATAATAATTGATGATAATAATATTAATAATAATAATAATAATAATAATAATAATAATAATAATAATAATAATAATAATAATAATAATAATAATAATAATAATAATAATAATTAATAATAATAATATTTAGTAATAATAATTAACAATATAATTTAGTAATAATTAGTAATATAGTGATGATTAATAGTTAATTAACTAGTTACGCGCCATCAACTCAATCATCGAAGGTTTTCACGAAAATATTATGTTATCTATTACTAATCAATACTTATTACTATTATTTATTATTATTAACGTTGTTATTATTATTACTAAATATTATTATTACTATTATTACTATTATTATTATTATTATTATTATTATTATTATTATTATCGTTGTTATTAATATTATTATTATTATTATTATTACTATTGTTATTATTATTAATTATTATTACTATTATTATTAATTATTATTATTATATTTACTATTAATTATTATAACTTTCTAGTAGTTTCTCACTTTAGTTTCTGAATTTCTACCAAGTATTATTAACTTTTGCATTCATTTAAATTTTTTGATTAATTACTAACCCATATTATTCAATCCCAGTTGCAATTCCATATGGAATTATACTTTAACTTGAGTATCTCTTGTCTCATTCATATTTAAAGCTTTCCATGTTTCTTTCCCATTTTCTGCCAAGTGTTTACGTTTACGTAATCTCTGGTCGTAATTATCCGTCCTACATAATTCATACGCTAAACGTTCCCTACGCTTGTACGTCTCTATTTTTGATTTACTTTAATTGCTACAATGATTTTTGAACTATTAAATTAAATCGCAGTCATTTAGCATTATATTATAATATTTAAAAAAAAAAAAAAAATCTATTCGTTGTCACTGTCAGTAATTAATTAATTAGCACTATTCAAGCTAACAAGCAGAAAAGTTTGTTTGCTTTCTTTTTTTCAAATTTTCATGTCACAGAGGGCGTGTGCGTGGGTGTGTGCGTGGGTGTATCTGTAATTACCCCTAGAATATAAAATGAGAGAGATGAGTAGTCAGTCATAGATGATAAGGAAGAATCTTTTTACTTCTTTCTTTCTTGCTGCATTTTACTGCACGCCAATGTCATGCATTCATTCCTGCACTGCATGCATCAGCCATTATGCAGCATGCATCTTTGTACTATTTCTTTACTTTTTTCTTCTTTTTTCAAAAATTCAAATTGATATACTTATTTGTTTGTTTATCGATCTATTTATATTTATATATTTTCCACAAATATCCTTTCTCTCTCTCTGTGTATGAGTACTCAGTTCTCGTCATGATACACTTTGAAATACATTTCGCTCTTGAGTAGGAGGTCTTTTTAGAAAAAAGCAGTGCAATGCCGAGAAAGTAATGTCTACTCTATTGTCGAGAATGACTGTGACACACACACACACACACATTGACATACAAGACATACTTCGAGTGGAAAACTATCTCAACATTTGTCAAAAAAAATCGTTGAATGGATCAATTTATCAATTTCGATGGGATGTATGAGTGTATGTGTATGTATGTATGTATGCATGTTTGTATGTGTGTATGTGATTGATAAATGTTGTGGACATTCACTCTAACAGCTAAGCATACTCTTTGGCTTTATTCTCCGTTCACATTTCCGATGCGAATCGAACGGTCTCTCAATTTTTTGGAACACACTGCGGTGTCATCATTTTATTCATTGCTGTCCTTCATATCATCATCATCATCATCACTGTCATCATTGTTGTTGTCATTGTTTTTGTTGTTTTTGTTGTTATTTTGTTCTTCTTATCATTACTAATATTGATATGATCATTTATCACTGCCATCGATGATAACATTGTTATCACTAAGTAGCTATAGCTATTATCACTATTGTTATTGTTATTGTTATTGCTTACCTTCCTTGCATTCAATCATTTCCTTTTCATGTGACACAATGACGGATAAAATTTACATGTTGCTGAATTGAACAGCAGATGAAATGGAGAAATGTGTTTTGAATGAGTAAAAGGAAAGGAAAGAGGAGAATTTCTTTTTCATTTCCTTTTGAAAATAAAAAGGATAAGGGACAGAGATAAAATAAAGGGAGAGAAAAAGGGAGAGAGAGAGAGAGAGAGAGAGAGAGAGATGTTAAAAGGGAAAAGAAGATAAAAGTATACGTAATATGTTCAAAGCATTAAATGCTCTTCTTTTTTTTTTGTTCCATCCTTTCTCCATCTCTCTCTCTCTCTCCCTCTCTCTCTCCCCTCGTATTAGATAATTTCTTGTTTTCTTCTCTTCCTCTCATCCATTTATTATAGCAATATTTATGTTTGTATACATATATATGTGCTACTTCTGATAATGATGATGATAATTTGAGTATGTGTATCTTCATCACACATACACATACACACATACACATACATACATACACACACATACACACATACACACACATACACATACACATACATACACACATACACACACATACATACACATACACATACACACATACATACATACACATACACACAGACACACAAATTCCTCGTTCCTCTTTTATTTTACCCTTCATTTTTGCCACACTCAAATTCTCTTTTCCATTGCCATATTTTAATTTTTCCTTTGTTTCGTCTTGTTTTCTTCTTAAAAATGTGATAAAGCAGACAGAGTTGGTTGGTTGGTTCATTAGCAGGAAAGAATGGATTGAATTTTCCCGCATTCTTATGATAATGTAAATTTACCCATTCCCATTTGGTTGATGGTTTCTGGTACTTTGTTAAATAAACGAAAAGTTTTTGTTTGTATGGCTTATGCTATTATTATATTAGTTCATTAGAATTTATACAAGCTTATTATGTATGTCACATGCTAAAAAGTATTTTCCCATCTTCTGCTATTGTCGTCGTGTTTACTCATTGAATTTTATGAGAGCATCAGGTAAGGTAAAATTAAATTGAGGTATATGAATATTTATTCTATTACTACGATAAATAAATATTCTCAATATAGTTGTATTATTATGTGTGCATAAGTTTGTTATCGATTTGCACTTCTGCAATCATAAATTATTTATTTACTTTATTATCACTTTTCATCTACTTTTTTTTTTTTCTTTACAAAAAAATATTTCATATTTCCATCAAAAATTTCAGTTTAACATCACAGTATATCTATTGCTATATCAATTTAAGCAGATATAATCATATATCTGTTATTATGATAATATTAATTATCAGTCATTAAATAAATTTAAATTAAGTAATCTGCTTTTTTTTTTTCTTTGTAAGCGATTCGTCAAGGAACGAAATTGATGAAAAAAAAATATATATATATCAAATTTTCTAAGTTTAT